AGCTGGAGGATGAGGGCGGCGAGGTATACGAGTTGTCGCACTGGAAGCGGCGCAACGCGAAGGATGAGCTGATGGCTGCGCCGTTGAGTTTAAGTGCTTATCTGTACACTGCACTGACGATGGCGGCGTTCGAGGATATGGGCTTCTTCCGGGCGAATTGGGGGATGGAGGAGCCGATGGGCTGGGGCAGTAACGCCGGCTGCGACCTGCTTCAAGAGAAGTGTATAACAAACGGCACTACGAAATACCCAGGCATGTTCTGCACCGAGGAGAGTTTTAAGTGTACATCGGACCGCACGAGTCTTGGTGATTGCTCACTTGACGAATACGACACCGCCCTTCCAGAATGGTTTCAGTACTTCTCTGACCCTAAAATTGGTGCATATCCTCATTCTCTCACGGACTACTGCACCGTTGTGGAGCCAATATTCCGCTCGTGTGCCAATACAGAAGAACAGCCGATGACCGGAAACGTCGTAAGCAGTGACTCGTGGTGCCTGGACGGTAACGAGCTTACTGTGAATACGCCGTTGGGTGCATCCCAGACAGGTGGTGTCTGTGCGGCTGTGTCGTGTGCCGACGGTGCTGTGAAGGTGCGGTATGCTGGCGACGCCAACTGGCACGACTGCCCCGAGGGTCGCTCTCTCACGCCATCAGAAACGTCTTTGACCTTCGCGAGCGGCAGCATCAAGTGCCCCAAGTACACTGAGGTGTGCACCATCGCTGCCAACGGAAGCAGCCGCATCACCATCAAGGCTAATGCTGACAGCACCGTGGCATCTTATACTGTCATGCCGCTGGTCTGGCTCTCCCTTGTGGCTTCAATGGTGGCTGCTCTGTGAGAGGGTGTGCTACACGGGCACAGCGTGCCTGCTCATTACGTGAGGAATATATTGTCTTATCTCACGACGACGCTGAGTGCGCCGAGTGATATATACAGTGACTGCCAAATGTTTGGAGAACTTAATGTAGATAAGGACGCGCTTCTCGACGGCCAATGACGCCCCTTTCACTGATGCCTTTGTGTGTCTTTTGATCTTTTTCATGTCGTTCTATATTGAACAGCTCTGCCTATACACCTTCGTTTCTTGTTGTCTTGTTATGCCTATACTGTTCTCATGGGGGTTTTGGGTTGAGGGGCGGAGGGCAATGCGCCTGTATTCGGTTCGGTCTGCTTCTTGTGTGGACTCTGTCCTTGCTGTGTGGTAGGCGTATCATTCACTTTCTCTTTCCTTCTCCATCTGCTGCTTATGTTGTTCTCCGCAGGTAGTTGTGGTGTGCCCGGCTGGCCGTGACGCCTGCACGCTGCCGGCATATCCCTGGCTGCTTCGCCGTCACCACCACCCTCATTAATACCATGAGCAGTAGGTGAGCTGCTCATGTGTGCTAGTGGCGGCAACGACCAGGAGGCTACCGTAGTGTTAGGAGCGACGCTGCGGCGATGCGTGTCTGCACCGCCAGTTACCCGGCGCCCCACCAGTACAGACATGCGGACAGCGGCTGTTTGTGACCCCGCCGTGTTTCTTTTTCCGCTGCGGCTTCGCCTCCAAGGTGTGAGTGCCTCTTCTCCTGCTCGCCACCTCCTCTGTTTTCTTGTTTTTCTCTGCCGCGAAGAGACAAGTTTTGCTACCAGCCATCTCTCTACCACACTGAGCCAAATGAACGGTGCGCCCCTTTGCACCACCCTGTTCCTGCTGCTGCTGTGCTGCGCAAGTGCGTGCCTCGGCTCGGTGCAGGTGTTTGAGTGGTAGTGGTTGCGTTCCTCTTGAGTTCTAAAGTTCCTTTCTGCAACTTTTGCACATAAAGCCACTCTATGCCCTCTACGTTATTTCCCTAGTAGTGATATTTCCGGCAGCCTGTGCGTGTTTTATTTTTTTTCCTGACTTTTTTTTTCTGTTTGACGTAGTATGGTACTGAATTAAGTTTAAGGAGCGTGAAAAGGGGTAAGGCGCCGGCAATGCCAATTGTTCGTGCGTCTCGCTGGGACCACGTGACCCTGCCGTACGTGCCCCAGAGGCCATGTCTGATTTACTACGTCATCCCTGGCGACAATGTTCCGCGTGTTGCGGTACCTAACGCCCGTGGTGAGTACCTGCATCTCATTCCAGGTATGCCGTACGTGGAAGAGGAGGCGGAGGACGGCGAAGAGGCGGTGCCGCTCCTGGAGTACGCTCCCCCACCGCTCCTCGCAGATGCTGCAACACAGGTGGAGTGGGAGGATTTGCCGGTACCGCCACTGTCGCACTTGCAGCGATTTGAAGGTTCCACGCGAATGTTGCAGGAGTGACGCTTTCTGCCGTCGTCTCGCTACAGTACCTTCTGTCTTGTCTCTTAGAAGAGCGTGTGGCGGTCTTTGCGTGTGTGTGTGTGTGTGTGTGTGTTAGTGTGCGGGCGCAATTTCTCCTGACGTTGCCGCAAATGTGATGGCTTTTACGTTTTAAAAAGAAAAGAATTTTAATGCCTTCTTGTGTGTTTTTTTTTCTCGGCTCTGTGTGAGGAAAGGAAAGCTCGCGGCTGTGCAAGAGGTCGTTCTCTGATTTTTCACCGCATAACAGCACCATCACCAAAACATGAGCGGGAGACAGGCAGAGAGTGGAGGCGGCTCCATCAACATCACACAGCTCCCACTTGATCAGCTTGAGGGTCTGCGGAAGCAGCTGCAACTAGACGTCAGCAGCCTTTCCGCCGCCTATGACAGCCTTCGGAGCGCGCACTCTCGCTTCTTGAGCAACCGCGACGTGCTCAAAGAGTACCAGACGGTCTGCGAGGCCGCCCGTGCCAATGCAGAGAAACCCCAGGAGGCGCTTGTCTGCATCAGCAGCGCCCTCTACGCCAGTGGTCGCATCATTCCCAGCGACCGCGTGCTGGTGGATGTTGGAACGGACTACTTTCTCGAGAAGCCGATAGGGTCCGCACAGACGTACTTCGCCGGCCGCGCGGAGGCGGTGCAGGATAACTTGGAGTCGCTGGAGCAGAAGCTTCGGGTTAAGCAGACGCAGCTCTCGCAGGTAATGGATACGATGCGCATGAAGCAGTCTGCTGCCGCACAACAGCAGGCAGCTGCCGCGTAAGGAAAAGGCCAAAAAGGAAAGAAAAAAAAGCGGGGAAAGGGGGCGGGGTATGAAGAGGCATGAATGTCGCATGCGACATTCTAAGCATTTAACAACAACAACAAAAAACAAGATAGCTGGACATGTTTGCCCCCCCC